CCCCTTTTGAAGAGAAAAGCACCCGGGAACGCCAACCGTTTTGACACTTAAAAAGCACAGACTTCCACCAAGCACCAACGGGACTGCAATAGGGCCATAGCGCAATGCAACCTTTGGCCTTGCTATGGGCAAACCCCACATCTCATATATTTGCTCACAGTCATTGCTCAGACCCGCTAGCAAGAGAGAGAAGGACAAACACCTTAGGGAAACATAATGACACATACAGTTGAGAAAATTGGCGGCACATCAATGAGCCGCTTTACAGAAGTATTAAATAATATTTTGTTACGCAAAAAAAATGGCAGCCTATTTAACCGCATCTTTGTTGTCTCTGCTTATAGCGGTGTCACCGACCTGTTGCTCGAGCACAAAAAAACAGGCGATGCTGGCGTATATAGTTGTTTTGCTGAAGCCGAAAAAGAAGACGCATGGATCGACCAGCTGGAAAAAGTAAAAGCCAAGCTACTCGCGATCAATGAGCGTATGTTTACCGGACAAGACCTCAGCAGCGCTAACACCTTTATTTCTGGGCGCATTGCCGATACTGAACGCTGTATGCAGAACCTACACAACTTATGTTCCTATGGTCACTTTCAGTTAGAAGAGCACCTGTCGACTATACGCGAGATGCTTGCCTCTATCGGCGAAGCGCACAGTGCTTACAATACGGTCAAGCTGCTCCACCAAAATGGACTTCCGGCCCGCTTTGTCGATCTAACCGGCTGGAAACAAGAGCAGTCGCTCCCGGTTGATCAGATGATCGAGCAGCACTTTAAACCGTTAGATCCCAGCAAAGAACTGTTAATTGTCACCGGCTATACCCACTGTGAAGAACAGCTCATGCGTACATTTGATCGCGGCTACAGTGAGATGACCTTTGCCAAGATCGCCGCCCTAACCAACGCAAGAGAAGCGGTGATCCATAAAGAGTTTCACTTAAGCAGTGCCGACCCCAAATTAGTAGGCGAAGATAATGTGGTCACTATTGGCATGACCAATTTTGACGTTGCTGATCAACTGTCAAACTTAGGGATGGAAGCGATCCACCCGCGTGCAGCACGTG